ACAGGCTCTCTATGTAGTTGAGACTGACCTGGAACTCACTATGTAGCCCAGGTTGGTCTCGAACTCACAGCAGTCCTCCTGCCTCAGCCTCCCTAGTGCTGGGATTACAGGCGTGCACCAGCACTACCATGCCCGGCTCTTTTGATTTTTAATATCTGCTTTATGTACTAGTGAGGTTAGTAAAAAATTAATCTTATCTTTAAGTGGGAAATATAGTAATTTAAAATTTGTAGCACCTTTGTCTGCTACAAAATGCAGACTCCTTTTTACATCATGAAATACTGATTATAGATGAGAAATTGTTATGGTAAAATTGATTTATTCCTTTTGTAAATTTTTTTGTGTAACAGTGGAGGAAATATGGTCAATACTAATAATTAATAAAAAATACACAAGGCATGGTGGTAATTAAGGAGGGGAGAATAAAACAAATTATTTTTTGTTGTACTATGGAGTGAACCCAAGGCCTTCACACAGAACTATATCCAGGCCTTTTGTTTTTCTTTTCTTTTTTTTTTCTGTGTAGTTCAGGCTGACCTTGAACTCACTTTAGCCCAGGCTGGCTTTTGATTCATATTTATCCTCCTACCTCAACCTCCCAAAGTGCTGGGATTACAATTTGTCCTGCCATGCCAGCTCTAATACATATTCTGGGTTTGGATTTTGGTTTTGGGGGTTTTTTGGGGGTTTTTTGTTTGTTTTTTGGTTTACAGTTTTTGTTTTTTGAGACAGTATGTAGCCCAGGCTACTCTTAATGTAACTCAGGCTGGCCTATACCTCATGGCAGTCCTCGTGCCTCAGCCTCCTAGATATTAAAATTACGGGCATGTGCTACCATGCCTTGCTGATTATACATATTTTTAATTCTGACAGTTAAATGGTAAAAACTATTCAGTTGGCATAAAGTGTGTCATTTTATAAATTTATAAAGCCTCTAAAATATAGTTAGGAAAACCTGAAAATCTTACATACAAACATACCAGTGTACCATTTAATGTTTTCAAAAATAATTTTCCATGTTCTTATGTATGAATAGGCATTATATTTAAAAAACAAGTTCCAGGGCCAGGGATTTAGCTCAGTGGCCCTGTGCATGCCTTGCAAGTACAAGATCCTGAGTTTGATCCCTGATACCTCCCCGCAACAAATTCTAGGCTGGGATGTAGCTCAGTGGGAGAGTGCTTACTCACAAGGGCAAGACCCTGGGTTTCACCTAGCACTGCAAAAGGAAAAAGGTTTCATGGTCAGATGAGTTTGGAAAATGCTGTTCAATCCAGGTGTGGTAGCGCACACCTGTTATCCCAGCACTTGGGAGGCTGAGGCAGGGGGTTTGCTATGAATTTTTTAAAAATGCTGTTCTAGAAGGATTCGTTTTTGCCACTTTCTCTGAGTGGAATCTTGATTAGATAATGGGCTTAAAGTGGTGAAGCAGGAAATCTCTTGAGATTGGTGTTCAAATGAGGTGAAGCAATAAAATCGGCAGAATGTTTTAGCCCACAGCAGATGGGGCACACTGAGGGTAGAAGGATTTGCTACTGAGTGAACACAGTACTACAGAATGCCTTAGGGATTTTGACATAGGGCATCTGTTTAGGGGCTAAATGTCTGTTATTTGCCATGAGTCTGCTCTGAGAATTTCATTACATAAGGCTGAAAATGATGGCTGTCTAATCTCAAAATGATTTCTTCTAAACCAAGTGTGTGGTGCTTGTTCCATCCAGTTCCTGGGGAGTCTGAGGCAGAAGGATCTTATTTTTTTGGTTTTTGAGAAAGGGTTTTCTGTATATCACAGGCTGTTCTCAAAATTGTGATCCACCTACCTCAGCCTTTCAAGTGTTGGGATTATAGTCATGTGCCACCACACCCAGCTGGGAGGATCTTTTGAACCTGAGTTGGAGGCTGGCCTATGGAAGCTTATTGAGAACCTCATACAGACAAAAGTTACTTCTTTTATATTATTCAGCAAATAATTACTTAGGTTTTACTTGGTACTGGTCTAAGCACTTTACGAATAGCTATTTTTTAGGAGACTGTTTCCCTCCCAAATTGTGCTTTTCATTTGAACTATTATTAGTGGATAAAACCTATGCTAATAGTTTATGGATTTTTTCTTTTAAGTTACTGTTGTAATACTGATGTTCAGCTTCTCTTTGTAGAAACTACATGAAAAAACAGTATTCCAGTTATTAGAGAAATGCCATCAGAAGTACAGAGATTTAGTAGTTGGGTTAATAATTGTACCTATACTAATAGCAATAGAAATCAGAAGTACACAGGGTTGGGGATTTAGCTCAGTGGTTCTGCTACCTGCCTCGCAAGCACAAGGACCCGAGTTCAGTCCCTGGTACCAAAAGAAAAAAAAAAAAAAATCACAAGTACACGTTCAGCCTGGACTGAGTTAGACTCTGTTGCTTTTTTTTTAAAAAAAATGGTTTTATTTGTGGAGATTTTTTTTTTTTTTTTTGTACCAGAGATCAAACAGGTCCTTGTGCTTGTGAGACAGGTGCCAGAACCACTGAGCTAAATCCCCAGCCCCTTTGTTTCAGTTTTTGAGACAGGATCTCACTATATAATTCAGGCTGGCCTTGCACTCACCACATAGTCCATGCTAGTCTCAAACTCTTGGCAATCCTCTTACCTCAGCTAATAGTTTTAAATAAATTGCCCAAAATGTGAATTTCTTGATTTTTTTTTTTTTTTTTTGGTACCAGGGATCGAACTCAGGTCCTTGCTCTGAAGAGGGAGGCAGCGAGAGGAACCATTGAGCTAAATCTCTGGCCCTGAATCTAATGCTTTTAAATGAAGACCTTTCAAAAACATGATGGTTGGGGCCAGGAACTTAGCTTGGTGGCAGTCACCTGCCTTACAAGTGCAAGGTCCTGATTTTGATCCCTGGTACTAGAAAAAAAAACAAATGATGCTTGAGAACTTAATTCATAATAAACCAAGCAAAACTTTCTCTGGTTCCAGCAAAAAAGTTTACCTCTTTTTTTTGTTTGTTTGTTTTGGGGGGCAGTTCTGGGGACTGAAGCCAGGGGCTTCACACTGAGTTACAATCCTGGCCCTTTCTTCCTTCCTTTTTTTTTTTTTTTTTTTTGAGACAGCGTCCTACTAATTTGCTCAGTTGCCCAAGCTGGCTGGAACTTGTAGTCCTCCACCCTCAGCCTTCCAGAGTACTGATATTACAGGTGTGTGCCACCATGCCTGGCTAAGAGTTTACATTTAGATGAAAATAAAAACAAACAACCTTTTTTTAAAATATGCTTTTTACTTCCTTCTGTATTTTCCTTGATACAAGGAGTATTTTTTGTGTGTGTGATATTGGAGATTTAACCAGGTATTCTTTTTACTTATTTCCTTCTTTCTGTATTTTCCCCAGGTAAGAGTTATGACTTGATACTTGTGGGGGGGGGGTACTGGAGGTTGAACCCAAGGCCTCATTGAGCAACAGCATCCCCAGACTTTTTTTTTTTTGAGATGGTCTCACTAGCCTGAGGTCAGACTTCAGCCTCCCCAAGTGCTGGGATTACAGGAATATATTACTATTCCTAGCATTATTTTTATTTTTTACGTGGGTGAAATACAGTTAAATTGCTCAGGGCGTACATAAAATATTTTATTTATTTATTTATTTTTGGTACTGGGGATTGAATTTAGGACCTTGTACTTGTGAGGCAGGCGTTGGAACCACTGAGCTAAATCCCTGGCCCCTATACATAGTGCTTTTTGTTAATAGTCACATTCGTTTCTTTGAAGGTAAAACTGGAAAATGCATATTTTTTAAAAATAGTACTGTCACATCGCAGGCCAATGTGTATAGCTTTTTATAGGAGATACAGTCCCTTGTGCGTTTTTTGAAACATGGGCTTTAAAGCATATGCTTAAAAATGTATGTACTTCATTTTTTATGTGCTACATATCATTCATGGTATCCTTGAGCAAGAGGAATCAAGAAAAGTTCAAATGTCTCATACAGGTTTGGTTTTTGTTTGTTTGGTTTTGGTACTGGGGATTAAACTCGTATCCTTAGGCTTGCGAAGCAGGCGGCAGTACCACTGAGCTAAATCCGTAGCCCTCATACAGGTTTTAATTGTGGTATGCTTTAAAATTTAAAATCTTTAGATCATCAGTGATTTTTCACATTTAAAAACATAAGTTTTTAAGTGCAAGGACAGTGGCTTCTGGTTAGACATTAGCAGTGTGAGAACCTAACATCAGCAAAAAATATCCTGAAAGAAAGTATTGATTCCACATCTGATTTTATATTTAAGCAGCCTATGGCAAATGTCCTCAAAATGGAATCAGATGTTTGTAACTTAATACTTAAGAAAAATGATGAGTGCATGTTTTTTCACTTTTAAGTATTCTTAGTGCTGCCTGGCTTAAGACATAAACTGATGTAAAAATAAATGACTGCCTGCATAATTTATGTAATGTGTCCTGCTCCTGATCCTGTTTGTATTGATTTTTCTAAAAGGCTTTTGTGGCCACAGGAACCAATCTGTCTCTCCAGTTTTTTCCGGCCAGCTGGCAGGGAGAACAGCGACAAACACCTAGCCGGGAGTATGTCGACTTAGAAAGAGAAGCAGGCAAGGTAGGAAACATTTCTTTGCACCTTAAAATATTATGAGTCGTTTTATTAGAGATTATCTGATGATTACATTTTTATAAGCGTTCATAAGTCTGATTATGCCAGCAAATGATGAAGTTTGTTTTCATTCTGTGATAGAAGGATATAATACAATTTTTTTAAACCACAGTTTAACGTCTGTATTATGCTTTTACTTATTTCACGTGAAAGGGTTAGTCCATAAAGTAGTATGCTTTTCTATATTTAACATTTAAAATTTAATTCTTTTAAATGCATTGATAAGAAATATTTTGTTTATTAAAAATAAATGTGACTGTAGTGATGTAAAAAATAAAATTAAGAGAAAAGTGGGAAAAAGCTCTGTAGGCTTAAAATTTCATAGTATTTAGGAATAACTTATAAGTAACTTTCTAATTCTTTTAATATAACAGGTTTAACTTGGGAAACAATTTGAAAACTTGGAAATAATTTTAAAAATTTAAGGATATAAAAAATTCTAAAGGTTAAGTTTCTGGGAAAAGTTTTAGGTTGGATATTTACGTTAAAATTAGAAAAATATTGGTAGAAATACTTTATGCTGGGGACACATTAAAATATAAATTAAATGTATTATTTTGGTGAATTTGTAACAAATATCTTGGATTGGCTTTTGGTTTTGTTTGTTTGTTTGTTTGTTTGGTACCAGGGATTGAACTCTGGGACCTTGCGTTTGCAAGGCAGGTGGCGGGACCACTAAGCTAAATCCCTGGCCCAGATTGGTTCCAATTCTTAATTAAAAAGTTGAGAAAGCACTTAAAATTTTTAAAGAAAATAATATTTTTTGCAGCCCATTGTATATTCAGTCTTTCTTCTACTTCCGGTATGTATATCTATTTCTGTCAACTTTAAAAGTTAACTTTTTAAAGTGTCACATTAAATACATAACCTATCACTTCATTTGTAAAATGTAAGAAATGTCTGAACATTAAACACTTAGACTGTATTAAGGGTGGGTTTCTAATCTTGCTTATATACAATGAGGAATTTTTTAATTTTATGAAATTAGATTTGATCTTTTTTGGGTAACCAACTAATGTTTGGATTGGGAAAGGAAAATAGATTATAGGATTTAAAATATAAGTAATAGCTTGGGATTTAGCTCAGTGATGCTGCCACCTGCCTTGCAAGTGCCAGGTCCTGAGTTTGATTCCCGCTACAAAATATAGATAAATAAATAACAAGTAATAATAAGTAATTTGCTTTTCTTTGCATTAGCTCACTTTACTGGAAATTTAAGGCAATTTTACTAGTTGGTGATTCTTATATATACAGAAAAATTTGGAAGTCGTTGTAAGATTGTTATCTGTCTGTCTGGTGCGTGAATGTGTGGCTAAATTTTCCTTGTTCAGAACACTTCCTTAGTGGTAGGTGCAGTGGCTCATAACTATAGTCCCAGCACTTGACCAGTCTGGGCATTGTATCAAGACACTGTAAAACAAGCTGGGCATGGTGGTGCACGCTTGTAATCCCAGCACTTGGGTGGCTGAGGCAGCAGGATCGCTGTGAGTTCGAGACCAGCCTGGACTACATAGTGAGTTCCAGGTCAGTCTCAACTACATAGTGAGACTCTGTCTCAAAAAAACCAAAAATAAATAAATTAATTTTAAAAAATAAGATAAAAGTTATTTAAAGATGGTTTCCAAAAATTGGGCTGGGATTGAGGTCAATGGTTCTGCCGCCTGCCTTGCAAGCACAAGGACCCGAGTTCAATCACTGTACCAAAAAAAAGACTGTAAAACAAAACAAAAAACACTCCCTCAAAGTTTGTTTAATGTGTGTAGGTAGCTCACATACTTAAAGGTATAAACCAAAAATACTTGTTTTCCCTTCAGCTCTTAATACCAAACTAAATTGACTTCTTCAAGATTGGCATCTCAATGTTACTAAAGTCTTGCAGTATTTAATAACTGATAATGGATGTTAATACCGTTAGAAGGTATGTTTGCTTGAATTAGTTAATGAAACCTGGTCACCAGTTTGAAGACTACATTATCCATGTACTTAAGCTAGTGAGATGTTTTCAGTTCTATAACCAAAGTAACAAAAATGTTAGATGGTTTATTAACATAGATTTTAGAGGTTTCTTTTTCTGTAAAGGAACAGATAGTATATATTTTCAATTTTTCAGGCTTATGGTATCTGTGATAGCTCTTCACCTCTGCCATTGGCTTGTGGCGTGTAAGGAGCCAGTTTACTATGTAAACTAGTAAGTGTGACTATGTCCCAAGAATAACATTTAAGGCAGGAAAAAAAAAGAGCCAGGCATGGGGGTGCATGTCTAATTTCAGTACTCTGGGAGGCTGAGGTAGGAGGACCACAAGTTCTAGTCCCACCTGGAAAGTTAATTTGGCAAGACCCTGTCTCAAAAATAAAAATAAAAAATAGCTGGGGATGTGGCTCAGTGCAAAGGCCCAGGGTTCTGGCCTCAGCACTGAAGGAAAGAAAGAAAAAAGACAGTCGAAACAATCTTCTTACTAGTAAGTTGTTGCATGTCATTTGAACATAATACTCCAATTAATTAGTCTGCAAAAAAGGCCTTTGTACCAATCTACATCCCCAGTCTTTTTTTTTTTTTAATTGTCTGGGCGGGGCTCAAACTGGGTTCTTCCTGCCTCCCCCTCCTTAAGTACTATGAGCTTCATCTGGCTTTCCAATACAGTTAGAGAAAAGGTATTGTCCTGCATATTATCATCTATGCAGCTCAAGGTTCTCTTTATTTGTCTTTCCTTGTTATAGTGTCTTTTTATAGCTATTAGATTTTGTTTCTGTCTTCGTAGGACTAGGAGTAGAAGTAAAGAAAATTAAAGGGACTTCCCCAAATGTTTTAACTGTTTTTCTGTGCTTTTTTTTTTTTGGTGGGGGGATCGAACTTGACCTTGCACTTATGAGACAGGTAATGGTCTCTGCTTCTTATATTGGATCCCAAACGATTGTCATCTTCCCTGCTCTCTCAGTTTAGCTACCTACTAAAGCAGATTATTTTTTTTCTTCACCATCAAGGGGGAGGGATATTTACTTTTTTTTTTTTTTCCTCCAGTGGATTGAACACAGGGCCTTTGTATTGCACTATATTGCTGCATCCCCAGGCTGGACTCAAACTTTCTAATCTCCTGTTCAGCCTCCCAGAGTGCCGAGGTTACAGGCATGTGCTACCACACTTGGCTAATAATTGTGGTTTTTGTTTTTATTTTTGTTGTTGCAGACATGGTCTTGCCGTATCATTCATGCTGGCCTCAAACTGTGGTTTTAAACACATAGTTCTATGTAAGAAAGTTTGCCTATGAGTAGAGACCTGAAGGAAGTTTGGAAATGATGTAAGTGTCTGGGGTGAAAGATGTTCCAGGTAGAGGAAACAGCCATTGTGAAAGGCCCAGGATGGGAGCATGCACTTTGTATTTCATAAACAGCAAGCAGGATATATAACTGGTTAGACTGAAAAGAGACAGAGTAGAAAGTAAGATCAGGATGATAATAAGGAGGCAGTAAAGGTGACTGCGCTAGGCCATTGTAATGATATGAACTATTCTGAGTGAAATGGGGAGTGACTTTGGGTTTTTGAGCAGGTAAATGACATGGTCTGTGCTAAGTTGTGACAGGATTACCCTAGCTTCTGGATGATAATAGACTAAGGGGTGAGAGTGAAGCAGGGAGACCAGTTTGACTATTGCAGCAATCTTGGCTAGAGAGTAAGGTAGGGTAGTAGCAGTGGAATAAGTGTGAGGTGGATATGTTTTGAGATAAAGAAGATAGGATTTCTTTATGGATTGAATGTGTATGAGAGAGGAGTTAAGAATGACTTCAGCTCAGGGCCGGGGATTTAGCTCAGTTGTTCTGCTGCCTGCCTCTGAAAGCGCAAGGTCCTGAATTCTATCCCTGGTACAAAAAAAAAAAAAAAAAAAAAACAAAAAAAAAAAAAAAAGACTTCAGGTCTTTGAGTAGAACAACTAAAAGAGGTTGTGATCATCTGAGGCAGTGGGTGGAGCAGGGAGCAGGTTTGATCAGTCTGGGGCAATGGAGGCAAACTTGTGGTTTCCATGTTGCTGTGGGCATGCAGAGAACCTCTCTGCTGGTAGCAAGCCAAGTTGCCCCACATTGCCCCAGCAGCTGAGCATTGGATAACAGCACATAAATAAAAGCACGCCAAATCCAAGCTTGCATCTCTCAATAAAAAGCTGTTTATATTATTGAAAGCTCTGTTACTGTTTTTTTGTTTGTTTGTTTGTTTGGTTTTGAGACAGGGTCTCACTATGTAGTTGAGACTGAGCTGGAACTCACTATGTAGCCCAGGCTGGTCTCTAACTCATAGTGATCCTCCTGCCTCAGCCTCCTGAGTGCTGGGATTACAGGTATGAGCCACCACGCCTGGCTTTGTTACTATGTTTTTAAGACAAAGACAAAATTATGAATTTTTTCTAAACTAAAATCTCAGGTATTGAGGGGCCGGGGATTTAGCTCAGCGGTTTGGTGGCCTGCCTTGCAAGCGCAAGGACCCGAGTTCGATCCCCAGTACCAAAAAAAAAAAAAAAAAACCTCAGGTATTGAGGCTTAATTGCAGTGTTGGCACTTTGTGATAAATAAATGGGTTTTGGGTTGTAGTTTTTAGATAGTGTAAAAGGCTTCCAACACTAGTCTAGGGCACGTGATTTCTTTTTTTCTTTTTCTTTTTCTTTCTTTTTTTTTTTTTTTTTTTTTTTTTTTTTTTTGAGACAGGCGGCTCTTCCTATGTAGTTCAAGGTGGCCTTGAACTGCTGACAATCCTGCATCGGCTTCCCGAGTGCTAGGATTATAGGTGTATGTACCACCACCCGCTGCTAGCATATGAATTTCTGATAGTAACTTGTTACTGCAGCTTTTGTGTCTTTGCCTTTAACTTCTAAAGCTGACATTGCTTTCAAAAATAACCTTTCATCTGCTTATCTTAGTAATTTAGTGGCCTTTTATAAATAGCTTTATTGAAATATGGT